ATATATATATATATATATATATATATATATATATATATATATATATACGCATATATAAAATAATATGTACGCTTTGATAATTAATTAATAATATATATTACTAACTAACTAATAAATTAACAACTAATATTGGTGGAAATATTTGACACAATACTTGAATTAAATATCTTTTTTCAAATTTTCAACTGTTAAAAGATATCGATTTTTACTTTATCGAATATTTACTTTATCTTTTCACGAATCTGTATTATTTATATAATAATATAATATTGTGCAGCATATATATAAACTAGCTTTTCGGCCCGCGCTTCGCGCGGGCCTCAAAGCTAATCCCCCCGCTGACTCACTATATTATTAGCTCTCATACAATTTTTTATTTGTTTAATTTATAAAACTTCTTTGTATACGATATTTTTTATATAAGATTCTGGATTTTCTTCAATGAGATGTCCTTGATTGCTTGTTTCATCAATCTTAATTTTGACATTTTCCTTTTTGGTTGCTCTAGAAAATGCCACATAGAGTTGACCATGAGCAAATACAGGATGTGGCAGATAAATCCCAACTTTTTGTAAAGTTTGTCCTTGAGATTTATTTATTGTCATAGCAAATGATACTCGAATAGGAAACTGTCTCCGTTTAAGCTTGAATGGAACTTCCGAGTCATTTGTAATGAAATCGATTTTTGGGATGAAGACAATCTGGCCTCGAGCAGGACCAGTTAGAACCTCCGCATAAATAAGATTATGTTTCAAATCTGTGACAATAAATCTTGTGCCATTGCAAAGTCCTTTCTTAGTATTTAAATTTCTTAATAAGATAATTGTAACACTGACTTTTATTTTAAGTCGATGAACTGGCATTCCAGAAGGTGTCACAGAATTTAAAAACTCAGTCGGATAATTCAATTGCTCTTGTGGATCATCACTTACAATAGAGTCAATTGATAGATATTCCTTTTCTTCTCTTTCCATTAAACGAAGGATTTCGTCATTAATTTTGAAAGTATCTTCATTTTTAGGACAAAGAATCGCTCGATCTGGATTTTCTCTAATCTGTTCCATGGTGATTCTATCACCAAAAATCTCAGTAATAATAGATTCTTTTGATATAAAATCCTGGGGGATTTCAATTGTATCAAGATGTAATCCATCTGTACTTGACAATTTACCATCTCCTAATTGCATTAGCCAATTTGCAAATTCCTTTTCATCCGCAGTTCTCATATTTTGCTGTAATTTAACCTGAGTTACATTTCTCCATATAGGATTGTATTTGACAGTTGACTCAATTATGGCTGCTTTATGTGCATGAGGTACTACTGGGAGATTTTGTCTGAAATCTCCTGCAAATAAAATAACTTTTCCTCCAAATGGTCTAGGATTCTTCATTAGATCCTTGAAGAGTTTATCAACTGCTGTTAAGGCATGCCCAACCGTCATGCTCACCTCATCCCATATAATCAGTTTAGCAGAGATCAGTTCTCGTGCAGCTTGAGAGTTTCCTCTTATATTAGATTTAGCTCCATCATCAATTGGTATTGAAAGTTTGAACAGGGAATGATAAGTTTTTCCTCCTTTTAGAAGTGTGGCTGCAATGCCAGTTGAAGCACATGGAATAACCATTTCGTTTTTTCCTCGAATAACACTCAGAAATGTGTTAAATAGATAGGTTTTTCCACTTCCTGCAAACCCGTCAATATAAAATAACCGCTGAGGTTCATTCTCATTGTCAATCGCTCGCATAACTATATCGTACACGTATCTTTGTTCAACATTTAATGTTGATAATAAATAGTCACCACGTCTTCTTTCTTCATCTAAATTATTACATATTATTACATGTTAACATAATAAAACATAAATTATTACATGTTTATTATAAATTATTACATGTTAAAACATAAATTATTACAATTTTGTGTTAAATAAATTATATTCATCCCATTTGATTTTAAATTGATAAATTTGATTCTCTTTCTCTCTCTTTCTCTCTCTCTCTCTCTTTCTCTCTCTCTCTCTCTTGCTCTCTCTTTCTCTAAAAAAATTAAAGAAATTAGTTTCTAAAAGGTTGTTAACAAAAAACTATACACTTTATGGCACTCCCCGGGAAATTCTACCCCTATTTCATGTACTCGTAGTAAAAATTCGGTCCCTCTCTCTCTCTCTTGCTCTCTCTTTCTCTAAAAAAATTAAAAAAATTAGTTTCTAAAAGGTTGTTAACAAAAAACTATACACGTTATGGCACTCCCCGGGAAATTCTACCCCTGTTTCATATATAATTCTTTTAAATTTAGTCAATTATTTCCCGAAAAATTAGAAGAATTAGAAAAATCGGTTTCCAGAAAATCGGTAGCAAAAAAATGGCCACGACATTTTCATCCCCGTGAAATTCTACCCCTGTTTCATATACTTTTGGTAAAAATTCGGTCCACTAACGAATGAGTAGTTCGCGTACATACAGACAGACAGACAGACAGACGGACGGTACTTATATATGTTAACATAATAAAACATAAATTATTACATGTTTATTATAAATTATTACATGTTAAAACATAAATTATTACAATTTCCCGAAAAATTAGAAGAATTAGAAAAATCGGTTTCCAGAAAATCGGTAGCAAAAAAATGGCCACGACATTTTCATCCCCGGGAAATTCTACCCCTGTTTCATATACTTTTGGTAAAAATTCGGTCCACTAACGAATGAGTAGTTCGCGTACATACAGACAGACAGACAGACAGACAGACAGACGGACGGTACTTATATATATAGATTAATACTAGCATGATACCCGTGCTTCACTACGGTAACACACATTTTACCCCTTTTCACCCCGTTAGGAGTTGAA